ATGTCTGGAAAGCAATCTGCATTTGAGAGGCTGCAATTCACTGCAGAGGTAGGTGGAAGTATGCAAATATGTTATGTTACTACCAATCATAGTTACGTGTCGCGAAATATGCAAAACAGGCAGTCGTATAAGAAACCAACTTTCTGAAGTGTGAGAGGAGTTGCATGTAAGTGCCGAGAAAAAGTGTGGAGAACTGTCATACAATTAGTGTGCATGGCTGACGTGTTTCTATGACTTCCAGAAGACGAATGACAGACAGTGAGCGCTGGCGGTGTGTGGGACGTCTCGAAGTAGGACAGTCAATCACAGATGTTGCTCTTTTCTTCGGCGTTCATCATTCCGTCATTTCACGGTTATGGAAGCAATTCCAAACAAGCCAAACAGTTGTCCGAAAACCTGTGGCCGGTCGCCCAAGAGTTACGACCCCTGCAGAAGATCGCTATATTGCTCTTGTAGCCAAGCGGAATCGAAGATTAACCTCTACACGTGTGACATCGATGGTTGCAGCAGCCATTGGTAAAACGATATCTGCTACAACTGTGCGCCGAAGGCTACACATGAACGGACTGTACGCCCGGGTACCAAGAGTTTGTGTTCCATTGTCCGTCCAATCCAGAGGCACGCGATTAAAGTGGTGTCGGCAACATGTGAATTGGACTGTGTCTGATTGGGGCAAAGTTATGTTCACGGATGAGTTGCGATTTTCCCTGGAGCCAGATGACAAACGTGTAAGAATATGGAGAGAAAAGGGCAGACGCAATCGACCCCAGAACATCATCGAGCATCACGCATTCCGAGGTGGAAGCTTTATGGTGTGGGCAGTCATTTCATTGGGATATCGCACCGACCTACACATCTATCGAGGGGGTTCTGTGACGGCTGTCCAGTATCGGGATGAAGTCCTCGAACCCATTGTGAAATTGTATGCTGCAGCTGTTGGTCCTGCTTTTGTTTTAATGGATGATAACGCACGACCCCCATAGAGCTGCCATCGTCGACGACTACCTCGAGAGTGAAGGAATCGCGCGTATGGATTGGCCGGCATATTCGCCAGACCTCAAATCCATTGAGAATCTTTGGGATGCCCTTGGCCGTGCTGTGTGTGCACGTTTCCCACCCCCTGCCACTATTACAGAGTTGCAAACTGCTTTACAGGAGGAAGGGCACTTATTTGACTCTGGAGTGGTTGATCACCTCATGGAAAGCATGGTTACACGCTGTAAACTTTGTGTAAGGATAAGGGGTAACCATTTACCCTATTAGTGTCGGTTTTGTTTGTTTGTTTTGGATTTAAACATTGTTTTGTTAATGATTCAATTATGATTTCATCTTATACTGTATGAAAATTCAATATTGTTTTTATTTTTTTATGTAATTCTTTGTGTTGTTTCATGCATAAACATATTTGCTACTGTCCTGCCGCATTTTGTGTCAATCACAGCCGTATTTGTCGATTTTTTTGCAGTTTATCACTCCGTGCTTAACTTTTGGCAGTGAGTGTATAATTCATTTTACATTGACGACTAACAAACGATCCAGATAGAGTAGCCATTTTGTAAAAATACAGCGCCCTCTATAGTTCATGAAAAACGCCAATAGCATTCCGTCATGGGTGCAACATTTATCTTATGGAGGGCTTATTAAACCTACTGATGAATGGCTAGCAAAAATTTGGAATGAAATAAATATTTCGAAATATATCACGATGAATCGTATAAAAAAGGTCCCGGAGTTGTACAGAATTAGTCAGTGGAAACAGTTTTACCTTTTACTTTAATAAAAGATTTTTGTAAATTAAGAACTATAATAAGAATTAATTATAGAAATCTTAAACAAGAAAACTATAAAATATTGAAAAGAATGCCTTCTGAAAATGGTGATTGTCGAAAAAAAATTAAAAAGTTAAGTAAGATAATCACATAATAAAAAATATAGCTCATTAATTTGTTAAATAAATATTAGACAAAAGACTTGTAAATTTATTGACGTACAGTACACTTATTAAATCCGAAAATTCTACAGTAGTTTACATTTAGTAGTAATTTAATAATTAATTAAGAAATGATTTAATATTTTATCGTATTTTGTTATTTGAAAGATCTGTCATGTTGAAGTAGAGGGCTTGCTGTGACGTCACATAGATCCAAGGTCACGCTAACAAATATACGGGATCTGGCTATCCTTGTAGTTTAAAGTCCTTGGGCCGAACCCATAAGAGACCCTCTTACTTGTTAGTGTCCACAGGGCGAAAAGAGTAAAAAAAAAAAAACCCACATAAATTTAAGCGTGAAAAAATACTTTTGAAGCCGGCCGATTTTGGACTATAAACAATTAAATACTAACTTGAAATCTGATTTCGAGAAATTAATTTAATTTTTCTAGTAAATAATGACACAATAAATAAATAAATAAATAAAAATAATAATTTTTCATATAATAAATTGTATTAGGATTGGTGAAGTATTAATTTCCGATAGAGGGATTTTGTTGAAATTGAACAGTTGATCAATGGTCGTGGAAGTTGATATTTTCTTTTTGAATTGGTTATTTGTGTCTGTACTGTATTTAAAAAATTCTGTATTGGAATGATTTCTTTAATATAAATATCTGTTTCGATGTCTGTCGCAAAATCTGATTTTTTAACCGCTCTGATTGTAAGCATTCTTTTTGATTTTTTTTATTGATTTGATTGAATGATTGTATGATATATGTTAAGAATAAAATATTTAATTTATAAAGTGAGTACGGTTATATCAATTTTCATACACACCATGAACACAAATTTACGAAAAATTTGATTCCTTTTGGGTACAATTGCAGATGTGAATGACACTGTTGAGACCTTAACAGAGCTGTACAGCATGCCCGTAGGAGCAAAAGTCAAAGGAATCATACCTCTATATCTTTGTGAGATAGTCACCCTGAAATCAGGTTGTGACAATTGTGAGTTGAATTGCTCTGCTAAGACTTGCATTTAACTATTTAGCCCATACGACTATGCTGGCTTTGAGTAGTGCACTTGACTGTTCATAGAGTACTTTGATGTTATATAGATTTAGTGGATGTGGGGACTTGCCCTCGTGAGGGTGCTGAGATGTGAGTGATAGCAAGCCCGAAGCATGTCACTATATGCAGAGCATTGGTCGAGGCAAGCAATAGCTCACCTTGACCGACACTATAGAGAATAGGCAGTATACTCATAAGTGGTAAAAACTGACCTCTAAAGGCAAATATCTCGTGAAGGGTAACATATAGAGGTATGATTCCTCTGTTTTTTTGCTCCTGTGGGCATGCTCTACAGCTCAGTTAAGGTCACAACAGTGTTATTCACATCTGCAGTCTTACCTAAAAATGTATATATATGAACTCTAGATTACTATTTAAATGTCACCAATAATCAACTGAGCCAGTGTCAGTGTGAACAAATATTTTTCTGCAGATCAGTAGGCCTACTGGTCCATGGACTGATGGGTGAAAAACATTGATTAAATTATATTTGTGAAGAAAAATTAGATCTATACATACTGTATATAATGCACAAAACTATGATGTGGAGACAAATATACCAATGATGTGAAGTAAGATGTAAAAAAGGCAAATACAGTTTACAGGATGAAATACAAAATCAGAATACTGTATATAAAAATCCAATATAGACTTTAAACATTTTGTGGGATTAATACTTTAGGAGGGACTCGCAGGTGGTGATAGCCACTCTCCTAGAGGAGTAAAACTTGATTAAAAATCCCAACCTACAGGTTGGAGGTTGAGACATGGGGCCAGCTCCCCCATTCTCAGAAAAAACAAATGCTAGAAAGCCCAACAGAAATAAGCTGGCTGGATATTCAGGATGATGACAAAGGCTATGGAAAAGGACAATGATTATAGAAACATGGAATGTTCAAAGTATTAATAATAATAAGGGACTAATTATCTCAGAATTAAACAGAATATTATTGTATTAACAGAAACCAAAAAAGAAGGGACAGGGAGTGGTTATAGAGGATAAATATCTACATTTTTACAGTGGAGTACCAATAGATACTAAATTAAAAAGAGGAGTTTCTGTTCTGATATTGATGAAATATAAGAAAAATGTTACATCTTGGAAAGCAATAAATGAAAATATGATTAAAATTAATTTAACTCTATTTGGTAGAAATATTACAATATTGGGAATATATGCTTTAAGTGACAGTGAAAATAAATTAGATAAAGATGAATTTTTTGAGAAATTAAATACTAAAATAATAATGGCAAAAATAGAGAAATTTTAATGGCCAAGTTGGTAATACCAAATATGGATTTGTGGTTACTAAAGGTTTACACCAAGGTTGTTGTATTTCCCCTACATTATTTAAAATTTACATTCAAAAGGCTATAGAAATATGGAAGAGAAAATGTAGTAGTATGGGTCTAATGGTTGGAGACAATACTGTATATACATTATTATTTGCAGATGACAAATTAGTTATAGCTGACAATTATGATGATTTAACATAAATGACAAGAAAGCTAAAAGAAGAATACAATAACTGGGGACTAAATATAAATATGGGAAAAACTAATTATATGGTAATTGGAACTGAAGACATACATGATTTAGTTTTGGAGGAAAATGGAAAAATTGAACTGATTAAAGGATGTGATGAATTTAAATATTTAGGAACAAAAATTACTAATGATGGTTGGATGTAAATTGAAATTAGGGACAGAATTATGAAAAGAAGATCTGTGATAAGAATGTTAAATGTAATCTTATGGGATAAACAAATCTTTAAAACAACAAAAAATAAACATATATAAATGGAGCAGAAGTATGGGTATTAAATTCAAAATTTAAATCTAAACTAGAATCCACAGAAATCGACTTTTTGAGAAGATCTGTTCAATGTTCAGAACTAGATAAAGTAAGAAATGAGGAAATTAGGAAAAAAATGGATTATCAAAACTCTACTGTTGATTATATCCATAACAAACAACCTGGATAAAACATAAAATAATCAAAAGCATATGTCAGGTTGTGTAGTAATATCAGCAATAGGTTTTAGGAGGTGCCATGTTTGGAGGATGGAAGAAGGTAGACTACACAACAGAAATGGATTCTGGCAGGCAGAAAGAGGAGAAGAAGGCCGTGGATAGAGGAAGTAACAAAAGCTATGGAGCACAAAGGACTGACAGACGAGGATTTTTGAGACAGAACAGAATGGAGAAGAAAAGTTTGGGCACAGGAACATGCTTAAGCAGTATTAACCTGTACAATAATAAAAAATCCAATATACAAAAACAATGAAATTCATATAGGGAAATAGAATACAATAGTTGTATATGAAATGTGATTATGATAAAACATAAAATAATCAAAAGCATATGTCAGGTGGTGTAGTAATATCAGCAATAGGCTTTAGGAGGTGCATTGGTGCTCAGAGGATAGCAATGCCAGGAACAGCCTTGGTTAAAGTGAGCTACATCAGTGCACATTCTAATATACAACTGGATATAAAATGTGTAATGGAAATTTTGAATTGTGCAGTGGGAATTCAAATTTGTACAGTAATTAATTCTCTGATTCTGGATTTTATAAAGATTTCTTTTTTCTGGTTATGTCAAAGTTAAAATATTTACCTAAATTATACAGTGTACAGTAAAACTTGTCCAAAATGGAACCTGAATAAAAAAGGAGACCAGCCTAAATGAAAAAAATTCTTCGGAATGGAGCAGTTTTCTATTGTAAAAAAGAACCTGTTTAAAACAGAAAGCTGCCAAACTGGAAAAATATTTAGTACCATGGGATTCTGGTTTACACAGGTTCTAACATAGCCTATATTTTATTCAGCCCACAAGAAAAGAGCTATGGAAAGAATGTTGGTAAGATCTACCATTTGTATTGAATGTATACTATAGATAATTTTAAGATAAATCATCAACTAGACATATCTATTATTAGGAGTTATAAGTCCTAATAATAGATATGTCCTAGTTGATGATTTATCTTAAAATTATTTAGTTAAGGACACAAAGGCATATAAATTGAATATACTATAGATATTTATTGTTATAGCTTCCCGCCATATCCATCTGTAAGGCTAACCACCTGACCACATGTATAAATAGGAAGGATGAGATTGATATTTATTGTGCAGCTGCAACATGGATATTATAATTTAAACTATAATTCACAACCAAAGCACATTTATTTTATAGTAAATTATATCACATGCAGACAGACAGTGCATACTGCACATGTCTAATGATTAAGAACAAACAGTGATGAAAATGAATAATTATACAGATATAAGATTTGTGTTATCGTCTCTATTTTCTATTTATGTCTTTCAGGACAGATTATTAACATTAGGATTTATTGGCTTGGCCAAAACGAAACTGACATTTGTACAGTAGAAAAAAACTTTAAAATAAGGCTTGAGGCACATCAGTCTTCTGGAAGTAAATATTTGTTTGAGGGTATATATTCACTTACATTGTAAAATTACATTCTTAAAAATTATTTTTTTCATTTAACAGTTAATTTTAAAATACAATTGAATATATCTATATCAAAATTATAAACATTGTAGAACATTTATATTCATTTTACATATTCTTGAAACATTGGTAATATGTACAGGATACTTCAAAAACAAATGTTAATACTTAAGACTTGTATGGAAAAACTGCATAGTTACTGCAACAAGGATAGATAGCAGGGCTATGCTCTTTTGAGACCTTTAAATTGGTCNTAACTCACACAGAAACTTCAGTACTTACTCCAGCACTTGATTTAATAATCACACAAATGTTTTTGGCCTCATTTAGGGGCCTTCATTAGGCAGTATAGCCATTTCATCGGATTCAACAAATACAGAATAAAAATTAAAAAGTGTTTTACAAGAGCATTCTATTGGCAAAGTGATATAATTTAAAAAAGAACAAAATTGTTCTTTTTTAAATTATATCACTTTTCAATTAAAAAAAAAAAACAGTAAAAAAATATTTATTTTTATCTTGTATTTGTTGAGTCTGATCGAATGGCTATACTATCTAATGAAGAGCAAAATCTGGCCAAAAACATTTGTATGATTATTAAATTAAGTGCTGGAGTAAGTACTGATGTTTATGTGTGAGTTAGAGACTGTTCCAGCTTTATGAGTTTATATTATGTGAATTTATATTATAGTTGATATAGCTTCTATTTTACTAAATTTAACTAAAACAATTAAAAGTTCATCTTCATAGATTTTTAATTGTTCTGAAAGGATAAAATTTTATCAAATATTTAAGATTGTTTTATGTTTACATATTAAGTTTAGCTACAATAGAGATTGTTTTATTCAACTAGTCTGGAGGAGCAGCTGGAACCTCTGTGGATATAATTCTCTATCCTTTAGATACAATCAAGACACGTCTTCAGAGTGCTGAAGGATTCTGGAAATCTGGTGGAATTAGAGGAATATATTCTGGCTTATCGTCTGTTGCTTTAGGTTCTGCTCCAGGAGGTAACACTTAATTTTTAAATGAATATAAAAGATAAATTTTAATGAAGAAGGTGCACAGTCTAGCTAGCCATTGGAATAACTTACTGGACTAGTTATTGCATCTTTACCATTGTAATTTTAGAAGGATGTTAATGTTTATAACTCAGTAATGGTTAGTGTTGGAAGGAAAAAGGGATAGATTCAGATAACCAGATATTCAATCCCTTATCTAAAAAATCCAGATTATTTTTGAGAATTTGGTAGCCTGTACAGATATAAAACATGTTGTTTGAAACTTTCTGAATTTACTAATTTCTATTTTTATTAGTAACTTTGAAGATATAATTTAAGTGTGAAGCATTTTAAATTCATTTTTATGCAACATTTATACAATTGTACATATTTGTTACAAGTTAAATTTTTATTAGAATGTATTATTTTTCAAGTTTTTGTTTGTGAAGTACTGAATGTTGATAATTACCAAAATTCCAGAAATTTTTATTTTTTATTGAATATATATATCTATTTTTTACATGTATATTACAATTAAAAATTATGAATAAATCAGAATATCTTTTGAAAAACTGTATATATTATTGTACATAATATTCTACATATTACCATACATATTATATATAATAAGTATGGTAATAAGTATAACATATATTTTATATAATTTCACTGTTAAATTGATTAACTGTTTAATTTTCTTTCTATAGCTGCTGCATTTTTCTGTACTTATGAATTTGTGAAAAAAGTGTCAAACCCATTGTTTTCAGATGCTTTTCAGCCCATTTCTCACATGGTTGCATCCTCATGTGGTGAAGTGGTATAGTTACTCTTTATATATTAAAATGAGATTTTTAAAAAATTTCACATAAATTTAGTTTTCCATCATTCATAAATTGGCATTTTTTTTACAGATGGCTTGTATTATACGTGTACCTGTTGAAGTAATAAAGCAAAGAGCACAAGCAAATCCATGTAATAGCAGCTTTCAGATATTTAAAAAGACTTTAATATCTGAGGTATAAAAATTACATTATCTTTTTATATTATACTAGCAGACCCCGCCACACATTGTTGTGGCTCAAAATGTATCTATTATAAATGTATAACACTTCCCCCCTGGGGGAATTTTTCAAAAAATCTGTNATTATTGTACATAATATTCTACATATTACCATACATATTATATATAATAAGTATGGTAATAAGTATAACATATATTTTATATAATTTCACTGTTAAATTGATTAACTGTTTAATTTTCTTTCTATAGCTGCTGCATTTTTCTGTACTTATGAATTTGTGAAAAAAGTGTCAAACCCATTGTTTTCAGATGCTTTTCAGCCCATTTCTCACATGGTTGCATCCTCATGTGGTGAAGTGGTATAGTTACTCTTTATATATTAAAATGAGATTTTTAAAAAATTTCACATAAATTTAGTTTTCCATCATTCATAAATTGGCATTTTTTTTACAGATGGCTTGTATTATACGTGTACCTGTTGAAGTAATAAAGCAAAGAGCACAAGCAAATCCATGTAATAGCAGTTTTCAGATATTTAAAAAGACTTTAATATCTGAGGTATAAAAATTACATTATCTTTTTATATTATACTAGCAGACCCCGCTACACATTGTTGTGGTTCAAAATGTATCTATTATAAATGTATAACACTTCCCCCTGGGGGAATTTTTCAAAAAATCTGTTTTTAGTGTACATTCTCTTGATGTACCCTATTAAAATGCAATCAAAAACGCAAAAAACCACATTTAAAATAGTATAAATAGAAGCAGAGTTCTTTATGGTAAGCCTTAATTCTGTCCATTTCCTCCCAGTGGGGAATTTCGACATGCATATTATATAAAAACACGCACATATTTGAATGCAGGATTGTGTCAAAATTTCAAAGGAATCGGTAGGAACAAATGAACATTACATTTTTATTTATATAGATAGATAGAAGATGATCTGCTTTAGTTCATCCTCACAGAAAAGCATAATGCCTCACAGAAAAGCAAACTTAGGTTGTCATACTCTTAGCGCCATCTGTTGGACATAAAAGCCTTGACCGTAGATGATATCTTTTAATTTATATGAATGTTTAACAGAATAATATAAAGCCTATGTCCACCCTGAAGTTCCATTCTAAATATTGGTGAAAGGATTTTTGGATGAGTAGTTTCGGAGATTACCCCTACATACAAACTTACAAACATTACCTCTTTATAGTATTAGTATAGATTGCAATTAAGTTTGAATAATTAATTTCAAGTTTATTTCTGTTGAAACTACTATTATGCAATCTCATGTTTTATTTTTATTAGATGCTAATATGGAAAAATGAATCTTGATTTGAAAAAATTATTTAAATATTATAATTAAATTCAATATTATTTTATTCTAATATTAGATAAATATTTTAATAACTTTCATAAAGTTTTTGTGGATTTTATATTAAAACTAGATTTTTGTTTAACATTGGTGATAATTATAAAAAAATTTTATGTAACTCACACAGAAACTTCAGTACTTACTCCAGTACTTGATTTAATAATCACACAAATGTTTTTGGCCTCATTTAGGGGCCTTCATTAGGCAGTATAGCCATTTCATCAGATTCAACAAATACAGAATAAAAATTAAAAAGTGTTTTACAAGAGCATTCTATTGGCAAAGTGATATAATTTAAAAAAGAACAAAATTGTTCTTTTTTAAATTATATCACTTTTCAATTAAAAAAAAAAAACAGTAAAAAAATATTTATTTTTATCTTGTATTTGTTGAGTCTGATCGAATGGCTATACTATCTAATGAAGAGCAAAATCTGGCCAAAAACATTTGTATGATTATTAAATTAAGTGCTGGAGTAAGTACTGACGTTTATGTGTGAGTTAGAGACTGTTCCAGCTTTATGAGTTTATATTATGTGAATTTATATTATAGTTGATATAGCTTCTATTTTACTAAATTTAACTAAAACAATTAAAAGTTCATCTTCATAGATTTTTAATTGTTCTGAAAGGATAAAATTTTATCAAATATTTAAGATTGTTTTATGTTTACATATTAAGTTTAGCTACACTTTAATAATGTATGTACAGTGGGTAATTGGTTAACGAACAAATTGGATAACGAACACTTTCGTAAAAGATTTTTATGTTCAGACAGTGAACACCTCACAGAACAAACACAACAAGAAGCGATGTAAAATAATGAATACTGATTGGTCTTCCCTTGTTTTCTGCCAACAATTAGAAAAAACAGTAAAATTTAAAGATGTCTTTAAATTGAATTTTGCCTTGATGTATGCAATGATAAAGTTAGGCATTAGATACCACATAGTATTCTGTGACAAATTTGCATATATTTGTTGCAATTGCCACTCTTGATCTCTCACACTCATTACCAAAGCTGATTTTTCATCTAGTTCTATAAATGCTTGCAGGTGACAAATCTGGAGACCAGACAGGCCAAGGAAGTGTGGTAATACAATGAAGACATTCCTAGAAACATAGTTGTATGCAACCAAGTATTTTCTTGCTGGAAAATGGCTATTTGCAGCCTTGCCATGGAAGACAACACATGAGAGTATATGATTTCTTGAACATACCACTGGTCATCAATGACCTTCTTACCACTACTATGCTTATAACTGATAGTATTTTTTTAAATTTTAAAACAACATATTGTATTATAATTTGCTTCTTGTTTGGATGACTACAATAATTTTCTATTGGCTATTAATATGCCTCAGAACCAAACTATATTTTACTGTTTTTATTTAAAGAAAAAGGATGTAGAATTTTTACCTGTTAACTTATTATTATATAACATTGTACCCAACTGAAGAGGATGAATTTACATGTCAGAAATACATATTGGAGTCAATAAAAATGAAATTAAAAAAAAAAACAGTCACCTTAAAGTCTTTTGTGGTCATTATGATAAGTTTGGTTTTGGGGCATATTAATAGACAATAGAAAATTAACATACTGTATGTTTGTAAGTATTTGGGATGCACCTTAGGTGTAACTGACTTTCATACTAGATGCTTCTCTAGACCAGCATGCCAGCAGTGAAGGCAGAATTGAAGTGCTCACTAACATTCTTCATTTAGCTTCTTGTTTGGATCTGTATTGAATTATTATTTCAGCACCTCAATAGTAAGCATATAATCCAATTGATCTGAAATGCATTTTGTTAAAGGTACTTAAAACAAATAAAAAAGAGAGTTATAACAAACAAAAGTTGTTGTGATAAGTTGGGGAAAAAACAGCACTATTGGGTTTCTCAAAAATAATTTTGCTCACTAGCAGACCCAGGATTCTCAAACAGACCCAGGATTTGTCACTGCCAGTCTGTAGCAGTTCATGCTTTTCTGCCACAATACTACCAAAAATAAGCAAAGTTGGGGTGTAATGGCAGGACATGTAGCTATTGACATGCAGGCAAATTTGCCTCTGCTAGTTACCTACAAATGGTACAGGAAGAGACGTTTTACCTATTTCTGGATGGGGGACAAAGACACTTCTTGTGTATATCTCAAGATTAGGGATTGTATATCCTGGTAGTCTGGTGTAATCAGAGCTTTGTATGTTTGCTCTGACATATTTATTGCCCTGTCACCTTTTCACAGTTAGATCAGAATGGCCCAGATGAGGTATAGTTTAGTGGAATGGCCATTCTTTAGGACAGATGTAACCTTTTTTTCAAATTTCATCAGCTGTGCATAATGTCTTTGACTGCATCATACAGGCATGCCAATCACTTGAAGATATCCAAATAATAGGTATATTAGCAATTCTGAATACCAGTGGTGTGCTGTCCATGGAAGCTGTGGAAGTACCGCTTCCCTTGTATTTTCTAAAATATAAATACATATTGTGCAATTATTTTCATATTTCAATGTACTTTGAATTACCATATATCTCAGCAGATAAGACGATAGTTGAATCATAAAAAAAGGCCCCCAAAATCTGGGTTGTCTTATAGGACAGATACAAAAAAAATTAGATTGAAATTTATATAAATTAAAACCATTATAAAAAGACAGACAAACTATAATTATTTACTAGAAGAGAGTAGGGTGTGTGCAGAAAATAGAATAGTCCATACAACATTTTTGTGAATAGTCAAGGTCATTACCCAAATGCCGAATCAGTGCCAATGTTTGCAACAGGGCAGTGCTGCCAGATGCAAGAAAATAAAATTTGTTCATTCGAAAAATTAAAATAGGACAATTCCGTATATGCTATACAGTATTATTATTATTCAGATGATGATTGCTGATCTAAACTAAATTCATAGGCTGTTGATAGTTTGGGGGTTGTCTTATAGGACAAATATATATTAAAACTATGAAACTTTGACGAAAATTTATACCTCATCTTATCTGAAAGTCGTCTTATCTGCCGAGATATACATTAATTAAAATTAATATTTTATTATAACTGCATTATGTATTTTATTTCTATACTACATGTGAAAAAAATTATAAGATTGCTATTGTATGTATATTCAAATATATAAATTCATATATGCATATTCCCAATGGAATTGCTATTGCCAAATATTGCCAAATAAGGGACAATTTCCATAGCAAAAATATTTGAATTGCATAAAGCAGCCAGATTATACACATTTGCATATGTGCTTTACANGATGAGGTATAGTTTAGTGGAATGGCCATTCTTTAGGACAGATGTAACCTTTTTTTCAAATTTCATCAGCTGTGCATAATGTCTTTGACTGCATCATACAGGCATGCCAATCACTTGAAGATATCCAAATAATAGGTATATTAGCAATTCTGAATACCAGTGGTGTGCTGTCCATGGAAGCTGTGGAAGTACCGCTTCCCTTGTATTTTCTAAAATATAAATACATATTGTGCAATTATTTTCATATTTCAATGTACTTTGAATTACCATATATCTCAGCAGATAAGACGATAGTTGAATCATAAAAAAAGGCCCCCAAAATCTGGGTTGTCTTATAGGACAGATACAAAAAAAATTAGATTGAAATTTATATAAATTAAAACCATTATAAAAAGACAGACAAACTATAATTATTTACTAGAAGAGAGTAGGGTGTGTGCAGAAAATAGAATAGTCCATACAACATTTTTGTGAATAGTCAAGGTCATTACCCAAATGCCGAATCAGTGCCAATGTTTGCAACAGGGCAGTGCTGCCAGATGCAAGAAAATAAAATTTGTTCATTCGAAAAATTAAAATAGGACAATTCCGTATATGCTATACAGTATTATTATTATTCAGATGATGATTGCTGATCTAAACTAAATTCATAGGCTGTTGATAGTTTGGGGGTTGTCTTATAGGACAAATATATATTAAAACTATGAAACTTTGACGAAAATTTATACCTCATCTTATCTGAAAGTCGTCTTATCTGCCGAGATATACATTAATTAAAATTAATATTTTATTATAACTGCATTATGTATTTTATTTCTATACTACATGTGAAAAAAATTATAAGATTGCTATTGTATGTATATTCAAATATATAAATTCATATATGCATATTCCCAATGGAATTGCTATTGCCAAATATTGCCAAATAAGGGACAATTTCCATAGCAAAAATATTTGAATTGCATAAAGCAGCCAGATTATACACATTTGCATATGTGCTTTACATCCTCACATGGTTTAGCTCGTGGATGCTATACACCAAAATATCATATAACACTTCCAATGATTCTATCCAGTGCCAGCATAGCTTCCCTATCATCAAATGTCACCGCACACCACTGCTGAATACAGTGAGCTCTGATGATGGGCTTGTCAGCCTGTATATACTTAGATTAAAATTTTGTGTGTAATTAGAATACTCCTAAAAAGTAGTAAAGATTTGATTTGTTAATTTATGAAAGAGTGATTTGTTATTTACATACTTTTTTGTGAACTTTTTCTTAATGGGGTACTGCAGTAGCAATTTTAAGATGCTCTGGTAGCATTATTTGGTGTGCAATTAGACCATAACTGTAATCATACACATATCTGCCTGAGACCTAGTTTTATCCTGAGTTTTGCAGTTTTGGGTGCAGTAATTGGATAATTCTGGGTGCACAACTNTTGTTTTTCTATCTTTTTCTAAGGACTTATTGAACGACCCTCGTAGATGAAAGAAGAAACCAGATATGGAAACCTTAGGGGCTCTTGGCTCTAATTAACTATATATGAATTTCCAATGCAAATCAGAAATCATGTTATTTCAATTCAAAATTCAATTCATTTCCCCTGAAAGCAGTTAATAGAAGAAAGAACTCTCAGAATCACTGGGAAGGATAATCAACCCATGAGAACCTTATTATATAATGACAGTATCCAGTAACGACAAATTTTAATTAAAACTAACATTTTCGACCATAATCATGATCTTCCTCGGGCTTTTGACCAGTACAATTTGAATATGCAATGTGTCAAACAATATGTTTAAATTATTTTAAAATTTCGAACATTTATGGGTTAGTTAATAGATGACTGGCATGACTCCATTGCTAATGGAAAAGTATAATGCATATGATCAAGACCCTATTAATAATTTNCTATAAATTCCCACTGTTGTCTGTCTGTCCGACTGTCTTTCATTAATTTCAAGAATGGAGTTAGATAGATGAAAGAAGAAACCAGATATGGAAACCTTAGGGGCTCTTGGCTCTGATTAACTATATATGAATTTTCAATGCAAATCAGAAATCATGTTATTTCAATTCAAAATTCAATTCATTTTCCCTGAAAGCAGTTAATAGAAGAAAGAACTCTCAGAATCACTGGGAAGGATAATCAACCCATGAGAACCTTATTATATAATGACAGTACCCAGTAACAACAAATTTTAATTAAAACTAACATTTTCGACCATAATCATGATCTTCCTCAGGCTTTTGACCAGTACAATTTGAATATGCAATGTGTCAAACAATATGTTTAAATTATTTTAAAATTTCGAACATTTATGGGTTAGTTAATAGATGACTGGCATGACTCCATTGCTAATGGAAAAGTATAATGCATATGATCAAGACCCTATTAATAATTTNGGCTTTTGACCAGTACAATTTGAATATGCAATGTGTCAAACAATATGTTTAAATTATTTTAAAATTTCGAACATTTATGGGTTAGTTAATAGATGACTGGCATGACTCCATTGCTAATGGAAAAGTATAATGCATATGATCAAGACCCTATTAATAATTTTAGGTGGAAAGCATATATTATAAATTAAATAAATTAAAAATATGATTAAAAATTGCAGCCCAGCATTGTGACTGTGCCACAATAAATAATTGCTCGTTACTACTATATTTTTGAAGGCAAAAGTAACAAATACAAATACAATTAAAACCTTTTTATTTTTTCTTAAAATTTGTTTTGTTGTGAGAAGTTCCCAGAGTAAATTCTTTTTACAACTTCTAGAACTACTATTAAATATACTGTAGTGCATTGTTTGACCAAATTTTGTAAGATGAACAGTCTACCGGCAAAGTACTTTTCTAGTGTTTACCTCAAATAAGGTAGAACCTTGGGTCTCAGATAATTGGGATTCAACTGTATTTATATTTCATATTCTTGTGTGCTTAAGTCTCCATACATACATATTGTATGTGATAAAATACAATTTTGTATATGTGGTTTAGGAAAATTTTTATATTTTTTTCAGAATATTAATAACACAAATGATTTGATGTTTCATTCTCTTCAGTAATGTAGGAAAGTAACATTTTTAAAATACTGCTAACTTTGATTAATGATTTTATCAGAAAATTATTATTATAATGATGGTATTGTATAAAATGCAATATTAAATGAATATTATTATGTCACATAGCTGATTCCAATAAATAGAAATAAGGTCAACATTAGAGCTTTTCCTATGAGGAGAAGTTCTAATTGTCTAGAATTATTATGAAAATATTAAAGGTATGATTATTAAAGTGATAAATGAAAAATTAATTAACATATGCAACAACACAATACACTTGTAGTATCAAACAATTTTTGGGATGTTTTTATTTGACTATATTAAGGCTAAATAATAATTAGATACAAAGCAATTAGGCTAGAGATAAGCAGTTAAGTTGCCATCTTATAATACATTTAATTTTTAATTTAGACTATTCTGCAAGAAAAGATCAGCCAACAGCAGGATTTGAGCCCACAACTGTTACCATGCAGCTCCAGTGTCAGTTATGAATACTGGAGCTGTTACTTACCGTGCAGCTCCAGTGTCAGTTATACTATTTAGATGCTCTGGCAAATTTTTTCTTCCAGAATATTCTAAATTAAAATTTCAACTGTATTTATATTCTGCAATTTTTGATGTTTTTGAATGAAGAAACACTGCTTTTTCTAGTTTATAGAAAAATATAAAATAAATTTAATGTAGCAAGCCACATATGTTTAAATTTATATTATTACTAGCTGTTACCCACCACTTCGCCGGCATGGATTTTGCAAGCAAACCCCATTTATATTCAGTATTTCAACAACCATAGTAATTGTTATATAACACCTACTGCTGAGAATGATGAGAATTGCTGAGAATCTAACAAACTGTTTTCAATTTTATCAATTTATAGAACGTTTACAATCGTTCTATAATCGAACCAATATGTAATAACAATTTTGAATTTAAAACGGTTCGAACATTTGGTTAAAAAATCGAAATATATAAAAATATTTATAACAATGTCTGAAATGTTATCAATTTAATACACCTAAGTACTCAATGAAAACTAAACATAGTTGAAAACAAAAAAATCACATTTAAAATAGTATAATAGTAGCCATTCTTCAGGTTAAGCCTTAATCCTTTCCCACTCCCCTGCGGGGGAATTTCGAAAAATCTCTTCTTAGTGTGCGTTTTCATGATGTACCCTAACTGTGTACAAAATTTCACCTCTAGGTTCAGCAGTTGCTCTGGGCGATGATGAATCAATCACTCAGTCGGTCAGTCAGAACAAGTAATTTTATATATTTAGATAAAGACATTTTATAATACATTGATAAAATAATCTATTTGTAAATTATACTCATGTTTCATTCATAATTACAATGATTTATTTCTTATAAATTAATGATTTGAAATTAAATCAGTTTATATATTTTGTTTTAAAAGTTTTTTTTTCTTCTAAAGAAACTGATAAAAATATAAGTTAAAGTATATTTAAAAAAATTATATATGTTTTGAATTGGAAATTTGAAAAGTGATAATTTTTAAAATTTATTTATATTAATAATAATAATAATAATAATAATAATACATTTATGTTTGTTTTCTAGACTATATGCAGGACTTATTCCCAGAGTCTTATGGATGTCTCTTGGAGGAGCTATTTTTTTAGGAGTTTATGAAAAGTCAAATCAATTAATTATAAAATTTGTATATAAAGATTAATCTTGTAACTTATTTATACATATAATAAAATATATTAGACTTTTAATAAAGTATATGAAAGAAATTACTCCATTTAAAGGGTTGATAAATTTTTCAAATATTCTCCTGATTTATAAGGAAGATTTCAAGAAATCTATCATCACATATATGTAATGAGAAAAATTATATAATACTTATACTGTACTAATCTACTGTATATATTTGAAATGCAAAATATCAGAAAAATGATTTAGCTGTTAAATTCAAACATGAAACGTAGATAAAGTCAAATAAATAGCATGACTTATATAATACCCTAAGGACATTGGTAATTATTTTGCCGTGAATACATGTGATCTGAAGGAATGTTAAGATGCTAAATTAGCGATCGTTCCAGTGTTGATAGAGTTTTTAGCTTCCTCTGTTTATTGATTTGAAACCAGGTTGTGTTTGGGAACAAGAAAAAAAAAATAAACCAGTAAATACAATAAAATAACTGTGTATTATTACATCACAAGAATGAATCAAATATTAAGCAAATTCTACAATTCAATTATCATCGTTAATGCTTCTATACAGAGTGACTCATTTTAATTAGTCAGCCAAAATATCTCGAAAAATGTGCATCCTACGACAAAATGTTCTACTGTATATCAAGGAGGATGCTAAATGACACTATCGGTTTCCTCATAGGTGGCATTATAATAAATAAATACAAAAATTTGTATAAAGTTTATAACGGCGAGTCAGTGGCGTACCGTGGGTGTCAGCCGCCCGGGGCGGAGGAAAATTTCGGCCTCCTTATTTAGGTATTTCAAAGACCAAAATTCGATTTTGTCATAGAAGAAGCAATGAAAAATTCGATGGTAGTGCAGCGACCTGTTTAAAATAGTTCTATTGGATATTAGTGGTGTATATGAACGCGAATGAATCGTACAAGCAATAAAAAAAAAGGTCAACAGGCTACGCAAGAATTCCTCGGATGAAAAAGTTACTAGTTCATCCAGCGAGCCGATTCCCGGACTGTCCGGACGATAGCACTATCGTAGGCGCGATGCAAGTATAGATCAGGATGTTTCAAATTTTTACAAGATATTATTATATTTACTGTGAAATTTTGCCGCCCCCTAAAAAGTGCCGCCCCTGCCGCCCCCCACTACGGTACGCCACTGCGGCGAGTCAATGTTTACACTGACTCGTCACTGATTCGGATGAAAAATTCGAAAAATAATGTGAGGTCCCGGACGGAAATCGATTTTGTGGTCCGAATGTTAATCAAACGAAAAATTTAAGATCTCCTTTTTTCAGAAATGAACAAAGGAAGAATTAATTGTCTCGTTTGAACAAATAAAGTGTTTTGTATAAAATTTAAAACAAAAGAATTGTGCAGAAAAGATCAGGGCTGTGGAGAGTCATGGAGTTTTGCTGTTTTAGTCGCAGCTGGAGTCGTCAAAAATCCGATGACTCCAACTTCTTTTTACTTCCCAACTTGTTATGTATATAAAACGGAAAAGTATTAGAATCGTGTCAAATTTGACCCTCCGAGTTTTTTTTTTTTTTTTTTTTTTGCAATTCTACACATTTGAAGACCACCTCCTGAACCCCAAAAAATGTCAAATAAAGAGGGAAATTCGTGTGTGTGTGTGTTGGCATCTAATTTGTTTAATGCATTTATTGTAAAAAAGTTTAAGAAACAAAATTTGGCACAGTAGCTTGCGTATAAAGGGGCATTAATGCTATTAAATTTTGGTTCTTAATTAAAGGTAGACAGAATGGAGATATAGAAGAAATTATGAATCATATCTCCAGTATGGTCGGACTTGATGAGTATTTCACTCGTTATTAGCATTCACGATGTTTTTTTTTTTTAAATAAAACTCGTCTCTATCCTCATAATTAAGCTTTTTGTCATTTTATAATAGTACAGTAAAAGCCGTTAAGATGTTCTCGCCTGAGATGTTAGAATATGTAGGGGGCACCATTTCTTTGTTAAATCATCCGACTCCGATTTAAAGACCACAGTCTAACATCCATACATACAGAAAGAAAAAAAAAAACCCGAATCTTTTGCGTATCTCGACATTTCAAGGTGTTCCGAGTCCAAAAATGTAAAAATTTGAAAGAGATCACTTTTTGACTGAACGCTACACTTTCTCTCCCTTATATATAACAGCCGGGAAAGTGAAAATTATGGAATATATATATTGACTGTGTCATTACTTAGAGAGTCTTTTAGGTTTGGAATTAAAAAAAAAAAAAAAAAAAAACGTTTCTATGTTCTATATTAGAACGCTATTTATTGAATCTTTTATTCTGACAGTGAGATCACGTAATGATATTAGAATTCCAGGGCCTATTTTGGTAACAAGCTTGCCCCTGGTCGGAGTCGGAGTTGGAGTCGGATGGTAAGTCAAAGTCGGAGTCGGTAGATTTTTACGCGACTCCATGGAAAAGACCAAAGTCAAGGGAAACGTGGTTAGAAAGGAATCGTGTTTAGTCGCGAGTTTGCCTCTCCCGTGTCCTCCGAAAGGTTTCGAATTGTCACTAAGTAATGAGGGAAGGCCAATCAAACACAAAAACGCGCGATTCAAGGACGCGACGTTTTTGGATCTTTGTTTATCGTTCCTACGACTTGTGTTTCCATAAACATCGGCTGTTGGATTTTCATCTCCTTTGGAGTGACGTTCGGTCCCCTGGAATTGTTCTCCCATCTTCAAGAATCATCCCTACTACCAAGACAATCCTTTCGAAGCTGTACAGTGCGCTTCGGGGCTGACGGTCTCAAAAACACCAACGAGGGACCGAGAGAAAACAGCCTAAGGAACTTTCGGACTTTATTTGGGTTTTCCCCCTCAAGAATTGTAACAACGGAGAATTAATTCTTTTGTAACAAAACCTTTAATGATTTATTAAACGGTAAAAATGATGAAAACTTGTCTCAGAGAGTTTTTTCCACTCCCACACGATAGTCGTGGCGCGATTGTCCTGACAAACACACCCCTGTCGACAAAGCTTACAATAATACGAATCATTTTAGTAGGATGTGCACATAGCAAAAGTTATGAATATTGGAACTTTTGAATTTTTAAATTAATTTACTTGCTTAATTGAGTTTTCCAAGGAAATTCTCTACTGTTTTCAGCAGAATCTTGTATATGCACATCACAAGCGGCGATCTTAGGATGCAATTTGAAAAAACCGTACAGCTATAAATTCCCACTGTCTGCCCACTGTCTTTCCTTAATCTCGAAAATGGAGTTAGATGAAAAACGACAATAGACACGGGAAACCTTAGGGACAGGAGGCTCCAATAACTATATACGAAGTTCCGATACAAACCGGAAGACATGTTTCAATTCAAAAATTTCCCTGAAAGGTGTTAGATGACCGGTACGACTCTATTGTTAAAGAAAAAGTATGATGTACAGTACAGTACAGGGATAAGCCACTACTAATTTGAGGCGAAGAGCATATATTTTAAATTAAATAAATTAAAAATGATTAAAATTGCAGCCCAGCATTGTGACGATGTCACAATAAATAATTGCTTGTGCTATTTACATTGTGAAATAAAATTATTTATATTCGTATTTGTTTTTCGTCACTTTTCATTTCAAGAACTAACAGTGTATTAATAAACAAGAACTTTAGCCTCGTTGTATTGATTAATACAATATATTAATAAAATGTCAGATGCGTATAAGAGCATAATTGTTGAACTAAAAATTACCAACGGTTTCGGGGTTTCTATTTGAAAACATGAAGCAGATCTTCGTTTCAGCGATAGTGACGTCATTTATGAAGAAACTGAGTTTCTTGCAAGTTTCAACAGATACTGATCACCACTCCCGTTGAATTACTTTCCAAAGACCATCTAATGTTGAGTTTTACGAAGAAAGAGACGTTGCCTCAGGAAGCCAAATCCAAAGAAATCCATGGGGCTGATGTCAGGTGCTTTGGTGGGTATGTCCTCTGCAGGAATGTTATGCAGTCCACCGTCAGCCTTCAACTTCTGGAGATAAGCTGTTGTATATCTAGTTGTGTGACTAGACGTTTTGTCATGGTGAAGAGTCACTTTGGCTTCTTCTCCAGGATATACAGCTTTGGAATCTCACGTTCCAAATTTGGTTTCAAAATGTTCTCCACATAGTAATTAGCGTTAACTTTCACAGTTTTTGGCCATCTGATAAGAGGAAGTGTTCTCTGACCCGTCATTCCTACAACAATCATAAATTCTTCAGGCCATCTTTCGTTACATTTGACAAGCCATCCTTCTGACACTTCATGTCCGAGCTGCACGCACAAAATTTTTTGAGTTCCATTGCAGTAATCAATGACTCCTATGTATTCTTTCTCCAAACTCAATTATTCATTTTTGTACGGGATTTTGTATACTCCTGCCGGCTTTTAAACTTTTGTTTTTATCATTCCTTAAAAGGCTATAAATGATAGGCACTCTCTTGAAAACCAACTGGGAGTCTTTGTAGTCCGCTATTTCATTCATAACACCAATCATGTTCATGTTCTTGTTATACGAAAACTTAGTTACTTTGTTCTTTCTTGTTATCATTCTCTTTTTATTCTTCGTATAACTTCTTATTAATTTTTCAATTACAGCATCTTTATATTCTAAGGATACATCAACGTTTTTAATTCTATCCGGCTCTTTTATCGTATCATATATGTTGGAGCAATACACGAAGGCTCTTCTTATTAATGCTCTATATATATTACTGTAATTTATTCTTTGGATTCAAATAGAAAATCATTCCAAAGAATTTTGTGTTTTAAATGTTCTTACCTGTTCTACTTCAAAAATAACAGCTATCAATGAATTTTTAAAAACCTGAAGATGGCCTGTAGAACAGTTTGAAAACGTTTGTCAAAGTTAATAAATAATTTTCAGCGAGATAAGGTGTTATTTTGAAAATTAAAATTATTTTCGTAATCTTGAAAAATTTTTACGAAAAATGTTATTTGGTAACAATTGTTAATTTAAATAACGAATAGTGTTCAATATTTTAGAAATATATATCATAAATAAAACGTTTAATTGT